AGCAAATTGTCAAACAAAAAAAAAAAAAAAAAAAAAAAAGTCACCAAAACTTTCCATGATCCGAGTTCTCCTTGCACCTGCGATCAAACCCACCTGCCTTTCACTCTGGATCAGATCTCTGTCAACTAGGGCCACTAGCCTAACCTACTCGAAGGCGGTCACTAAAGGACTCTACTGCTGATCAGGAGACATTTAAAGAGATCCCCCATAACTCCTCAGGAATTCTTTAACGCCGCAGTCAGGACAACGTGATCAGCAGTCCTCTCAATACTTGGACAGCTGGATGTGCAGCCTGCAGCTCGAAGTTCAGGCCTACCACGCCACATTGAGCAGCCCGCCGGTCATAGCGGTCCTTGGGGGTCTTGTCCTCGAGACGTGTCAGTCGTTTGGTCATGACAGCTCCATCGACCACATGCACAAAAAGAAGATAAAACTGACACTCAGCAAGTACCAAAGGTACGTGCACATCCACAGGGCGAGGGGGCAAGCTTAACTCTTGGAGAGGTTATACCACCTCCAGGTTGGTCAACACCTTCGGTAAGCGGTCTTGGTCAACTTGGTCAACATCGAGTAAACGCCAATCAAACTTGGTCAACACCCAACCATACTCCTCCGGTTGACTTCTTCTACCTCTCAGCTATGGTCGTTGACCCTTCTCGATCAACCTTTCTCTTTCCCCCTTCATCTTCTTCCTGGCCCCTCCTTTGGCTATGGCTTTTTCTTTCTCCTTCGTCTCTCCCTCCTCCTCTGTCTTCGTTTTCCTCCCCATGTCCCGGCTCGACCAGTATTGCCACCACTTCCCCCTATTTTGCGCATCCAATCTTCTCTCTCTCTCTCTCTCATTTCGAAAAACAAAACAGGAATGACTCTTCCCGCTATCGCAGAAAGATGCACTCCCGTCTCTGACACCTCTCTCTCTCTCTCTCTCTCTCTCTCTCTCTCTCTCTCTCTCTCTCTCTCCCTCCCTCCCTACCGCAGGACTTCAATTTTTTTCCCGTTCGTTTTTGTTCTTTTTCAATTTTTGTGTTTGATTTTTTTTTCTTTTCTTCTTGGTTTCCTCTGTAGTGTCGTCCCTACAGAACCGGGGCCCGGCCTTCAGGTTTCCTTCTTGGTTTCCTCTGTAGTGTCATCCCTACAGAACCGGGGCCCGGCCTTCAGGCAGCGACCGGGCCTTCCCTTGGCCAACCCCCCAAGCTGTCGTCGCGTTAACAGGAAAGGCCCCCGGCCGATAGCTGGGCCAAGTACTGGTGGTTTAAGCTCCAGCCTGGCTATGGCTGGCTGGGCTCTGGCACTGCTCCAATACAGCCCCCACTACCACTGCGCCCTTGTCACCAGACACCTCGCCAGTGGCATCCTCTAGCGCACAATCCAGCAGCGCTGGCGCATTGCACAAAGTGCCCAAAGAATGAAAGGCAGGCTGGAACTTTCCTATATTGAAATTGCTTGCCTGTGCTGGCTGCCTGGGCCCGGCAACTTTGTGCCCAGCAGCTTCACGTTGGGCCAAAGCACCTGCGCCCAGGCCCAATTCAGATAGCGGCCTGGGACCATAACATTTAGGCACGCCCACTATACGACGTGGGCTGTGTCACTGACTGCATTCTGATAGGCCGAAAGGCCTCATTCCACGTCGAGCGTGGAAGAGCTTAGAAGGCTCTCGATTCCACAGTTGCATCGCATGCAGGGCTCAGACAAGCCCGGGATCAGGCTGACGTGCAAAATTGTGTCAATCTGCAGCGGCAGGACAAACCCGCTTTCAGACTGGGGCGACAATCAGCATCATCATACCAAAAAGGCCACACACAACAAGAGGCGATTAAAAAACAGCCTACTCCGGAAGGCCATCCATGTCACGAGCGTAATATCCGCAAGCTCAGAACAACACGCTGACAAGGAGACATGAAAAACTGGTAGAGACATTAGCTACATACTTCGTCGAATCTGGACTTCGCCATAGTTAATGTTCATTCCCATACAACTCAGACAGGCACTGGATCAGCCTGACGTGCAATTATCGCCATAGTTAATGTTCATTCCCATACAACTCAGACAGGCACTGGATCAGACTGACGTGCAAAATATTGTCAACCTCCATCAGCACGCATGGTGCATGTTCATTCCCCGACAACTCAGACAAGGCCTGGATCAGACTGACGTGCACAGTTGTCCATCGGCAGCAGCAGACATACCCGCTTTCAGACTGGGGAGACAATAATCGTCATCATACCCAGCAATCTGCCACACCACAAGGCAATACGAAGTGATCGCCGCACTACAAACATCATGTGCATTCAGACCTTGTCCACGGCACAATGTTCACACCACGAAGACGAGAAATCCCACCGCAGAGAGCTGGTTTAGCTAGATAAGTTCATCCACTGCAAGGTAGAACAATTAGTTCCCACCCTAAGCCTTCAAAAGCATTGCTGTACATGAGAAATCCATTTCACTCCGGCATACCCTTCTGTTCCTCTCCTTCTCTTTCCTCAGCAATGTCCTGCCTCCCTTCGCCAATACTTGAACCACCATGCCTCTCCAGTCAGTCAGTAAGACAGTCAGCCAAAACTTGTAGCACATGAAATTCAATTATGAGCAGGGTGTTTATCATCGAATGCCATGCCACACTGACAAGGGCTGTTGCGGGCAATGAACAGGCTTGCCACGTGTCTACCTTTAGTCCTTAGCAGAGGTGGCAACTGGGATTTTTTGGAATACTTGTACCTTACCTACCCATACCATCTTTGAAAACTAACCACCCATCCTTACCTGCTAAAAAAAAAAAGAAGCGTACCCGTACCTGCCCTACCTGAGCCCCTTCAGACTGTGACTGCCCATAACTGCCCATGGACTTCCTGTTTCAAAACTACCCATGGCCACCTACACCCAAACCTTTTGTCAACCTCCTGTACCGTACCCAACCAATTTTTTTTTTCACCCCTACCCACCCGTACCCACTCCCAATCTTATGCACCCACCCATAACCATCCACACTTGTGACCCACCCTCCCCTAACCACCCCTAACTGTCCCCAACCGCCCCTAGCTGCCCTTAAATGTCCCCAACCGCTCCTAACCGCCACCCTTAATCGCCCCTAACCATCCGCATTTGTGACCCACCCTCCACTAACCATCACCCCTAACCATCCGCATTTGTGACCCACCCTCCACTAACCACCCCTAACTGTCCCCAACCGCCCCTAACCGCCCCTAACTGTCCCTAACCGCCCCTTATCGCCCCTAACCATCCCCTACCGCCCCTAACCGTCCTTAGCCGCCCCCTACCCCTCTAACTGCCCTTCGCAGAAGATTCATTTGATTTTGCTCATCCTATCGATGAAAGTAGAGTGAGGCTAGCCACGCGGTTGGAGACTTACATGTTCTCTCTCTCTCTCTCTCTCAGCCATGCAGCACACACAGAACGGCAGTGTGTACAACCACGGCGGGCGGATGATGGCCATGCAGTGGCATGCATACAGAAGGGCGGGCGGGTACAACCATGACGGACGGCCAATTTCCAAGGGGGAATTCCCTGAGGCGAGGTTGGAGCCTTCCAATTTCAGAATTGGCCAATTTTGAAGTTGGGAGGCTATTTCCTGAAATCTTTTTCTCGTCGTTCACGCCAGGGAAAAAAATTGTGCCTAAGAAAAAAACAGCTCCGCCGGTCTGTATATTTCCTGGGAAGAGAGGGGTGAAGGTGGATATTACGTACGGTTACCCAACAGAATTGCTTACCCGCCCATACCCATCTGATTTTTTTTTTCACCACCCTATAATGGCTGTACCCATGCTGCTTTTTTTTCTTGGCCGCCCATACCTGCGATTTTTCCCTTTTCACCGCTAATACCCGCCCATGCCTGCCCGTGATCTCCACGTAGTGCAACCGGGCCTGCCCTGAAATCCACAAATCAAATTTATGCCTGCCCATACCGATGGCCCCCTCCGGAAGGGTACCCGTACCTGCCCATAACCTGCCGGTTCCAGTTGGGTACGGTCGGGTACGGGCAGCGGTTACCCAGTTGCCACCTCTGGTCCTTAGCCTCTCGCTCGCTGGCCACAACTTTGGCAAACCGTGCTTCCTTTCAGACAGTGCAGTATGTACAATACACGCAGGATTTTCATAATTGAATGCCTGCCACACTGACAAGGTCGATCGCGGGCAATGAATGGGCTTGCCAAACGTCTATCTTCAGTCCTTAGCCTCTCACTTGCTGGCCGCAACTTTGGCGAACCACGCTTCTTTCCAGATCATGCAGTACTGCTGTGCACAAAACAAGCAGGATTTTGATAATCAAATGCCCTGCCACACTGACGAGGTCAGTTGCAGGCAATGAACGGGCTTGCCAAACGTCTATTATTAGTCCTTAGCCTTTCGCTAGCTGGCCATAACCCGACGAACTACACTTCGGCCAAGATCATGCAGAGCTGCTGTATACAATACGTTTATGGGCTGGTGGTCAGCTTGGTGATTGGTTGGATGGTCAGTTTGGTGGTCAGTTTGGCAATCGGTTTGGCGGTCGGTTTGGCAATCGATGTGGTGGTCAGGCCAATGGTCGTTTTGGTGGTTGGTTTGGTTTCGTGGGTCGTTGTCAGTTTGGTGATCGGTGATGGGTTTCACGGCTGGTTTGGTGATCAGTGGTTGGTGTGTGTTTGGAGGTCGACCATTTCGGTTTCCATTAGGTGGTCATTTTTGGTTTGGTGATCGGTTCAGTGGTGGGTTTCATGGTCAGTCTGGTGATCACTCCGGTGGCTGGTGTGGGTTTGGAGGTCAACCGTTGAGGAGTTCCACCAGGAAAGGAATTATGACACTTCGCGCCTCGTCCGATATCCGCGTGTGTTGTCTTCACAAATCGCACATCGCAAGTCATTAGACGATACTTATATTTCAGACTTCGGCCTCAAACGCATTGCGGTTAGTTTTCTTCCCGTTCCATTTTTCAAATTGCGCACTTGAAGTGACGACATTGCAGGTCTATAGCTGGTCTTTTAATGACACTTTTTCCGTACCTTCATGATCTTGGAGCCATCAAGACAGAATCGCACGCGCTTGCCGACAATCTCCGTGGGATAGACAAGATCTTCCAAAATCGCCTCGTGGACAGCAGTCAATGTTCTGTTCCTGGGCCTCGCCACAGAGATGCCCCTCTTCGGCGGCTTCATGATCCTCCTCGTTGCCACAATAACTACATCCTGCCATTAAGAAGAGGAGAAAACAGTCAAGAAGAGCAGACACACGAAGGAACAGATTGTATCTCAATGAAACAGACCACTGAGGATTCAATCCACCTCAATCTTTTAATTAACGGCGACGGCCTTGAGACATCCCCATTCAACCAATTACGGGCCCCATAATAAGGAAACCAGTTTACGAGCGAGCTGGGAGCGCGCTGCTGGGAGTCTGGATTTCGGAACCTGGTTGAAAACCAGCCATTGGATTTCGGAACCTGGTTGAAAACCAGTCATTGCATGTCTCACCCGACTGAGGACCGACGAGTTCGTACTGCTACCGTACTTTTGTCCTACTCATCTGATTGTATCTGGATTCGAACTTTGGCCTATATTTCAATAGTTAGTTCTTCATGGGCGCACCAACTGGGAAAGGAATTCAACCCGCCTGTCACTGCACATAAAGCACTGCAGAATAGTTCATGATGACATTTTCTCTCGTACCATCATGTAATGACACAAACCAGACACAGAAGTACAGTAACGAGCACCCCTTCACACTCCTCGATCACCACGAGCCAAGAAAATCCGAATCAATTAGATTAAGCTACAAAGCCAAGTAGGAATGCACTCAATCCACTAAAACGACTGAGAGCTGAAGTAATGCAGAGAATAAATAAAAGAAAAAAACTTACCGAACCCTCAAAGCCTAGTAACCTCTAAACCATTAGTAGCTACTTTTCGAGAATTTTTTGGATCTCATCCTCTTTGACAGTTTACGGATCAAACTCACCCTCTGGCAGAGAAAACTCATAAAAGGATAAGCTCATTAGGACCAGGAGGATTAACTCAAAAAACTGCTACTTTTAATGTTCGAGATGTTCATCTTACGATTATTAATAGCATCTAACCACATAAGCAACGAAAGATTTGCACCTCCATTCAAAGCAGGGCTTCGATTAGAGGAAAGTACAATCAAATCCATAAACTGTTTTTCCATGTGTAGCCTAGCCTGTATCCATTGTGCAAAGGCAGGTTCAATCAAAATTTGTTTTTCTGACCCCGCCAACAGAATTTCCTTCAAACCAAGGAGCAAGAACGTCATGATGACTACCATTTTCCCAAAATAGAATACACGGTCTGTATCTAGAATGAAAGTTGGCCATAATACAGCAACAACGACCGTACAGAATATGTACCGACATTATCGCTGCATTAGGGCCAACTTTCCGTCTAGATACCTTCCCTAGAGAAATGCGACTGCACCAAGTCACCACCCCACCGAAGAACGTCATGATGACTACCATCTTCCCGCGAATAGAATGCACGGTCTGTAACTGGCCCTAATACAGCGACAATGACCGTACAGAATATGTACTGTCATTGTTGTTGCATTAGGGTCAACTTTCCGTCTAGATACAGTGATGAAGACCGTACAGAGAGAATGTACTCGGGTGAGGACGATCCCAGAGCGAGAAAATGGGGGGGCTGTGCGCCATTAACACTTCGGCGCGAAATCTGAACATCAGGGTGCCAAACTTTAGGGCGAAAAGGCGGGGTCAGTGCACACTCGTTCAGACGAAGCCTGAACATAACGGTAGCAATTTTATTTCCCAAAGGAATGGCCCAAAATAAATCGGAACAGGTGGGGAAGAAAACGGGGTGGGGTGGCTGTGTCATTCAGACGAAATCTGAAGGCAAAGGTGCCAAATTGCATCGTAAGAAGGTGCGTCTCGCGTACCTTTCCACTGAACTTCTTCTCCAATTCCCGCACAAGACGCGCATGAATCTTCTGGAAAGCCTTCCTTAGCCGAAAGGGCACATGAATGATGATAGCCTTGCGACTCTTCGAGACGTCTATTTCCCTTTAATGTCGAGAGGGGGGGAAACAAAACAGACAGACGGATGGAGCCACGACGGGATGTCCCAGGAGGACCGAAAATTGCAACCAAACGAACCAATAAAAATTTAAAAAATGCGTCAGCTGCTGATAAATTCTCTGGGAGAAGAGACTATTTCCGATGAAAACAGAAAAACAGAAAGGGCAAATTTGACGTAAAAAATTCCGGCAGCGAAAATTGCAACCAAACGAACCAATAAAAATTTAAAAAATGCGTCAGCTGCTGATAAATTCTCTGGGAGAAGAGACTATTTCCGATGAAAACAGAAAAACAGAAAGGGCAAATTTGACGTAAAAAATTCCGGCAGAAATTCGAACGTCTACCGACCGCCTTCCCCCAACACTTGTATACATTCATTACCAGGGTGCGTTGTGTTCGGGGGAAGACGATAGCCAAGGCCAGAAGAAGGACGACGTGAGCACACAAAGCCTGAACCGCTTGTCTCCTTCTGCCGAACAGAAAAACGTAGTCATTCTCGCTGTATCTAGACTGAAAGTTGCCCCAAATACAGGCAAGATCCCACTTGTAAAGAGATTGGCTTGACAACCTGAATCTGGACGTGTTTGTGGAGAGGTGCAGATCCTTGCCATTGCTCTGCTTTTCTGCATCTCGACTTAATCCGCATCCAGATTCAGGCGCTTGGTCCAATCTTCTTGGTTAGTGGGATCTCGCCCTCAGAGATGTAAAACTACCCAAGGGCGGAAACGTCCGTTGCAAAAAAATCTGCTGCAGAAATGGACTTTCAAGAAAATCCGGATCTTCACCTCGCGAATACAGCACAGGGTCATTACGTCTGTGCCATACGGGGTAAGTTTCAGCTCAAATCAATATAAACGAAAAGAGCATCTCATGATCTCACCTACAGCCTTCCCCCCGCATAGAACACAGGTTCGTGTTATAATATCTGCCATACGGGACAATTCGTCTGTACTTTTATCAGCCTCGGACCTCCTCCGTGCACGCACAGATTCGAACCGGCGCCCTGAGCCCCAAGAGCCGAATTTCTTAAATACTACAGCGACGGCACGGTGTACAAAAGAGGATCCAATGCGGCCATGATATCCACCCCACCGCCCTTCATGGCTGTACTATCCTTCAACTCACACACAGAACAAGTTAATATAAACGAATGAAGCATCATCTCAAGATCACTTGGCGTCAAACGACAGTCTGCTGGACTTCTTTCCAACAGGCGGCGCCCGACAAAAGGGCGGCGGGCGCAGAGGTCATTTAAAGGTTCCCCCCCCCCCGGAAAACCGGTACTGCCTTCGTTAGAAGATATCAGCAACCACCGGGGCACACCATATCTTCCTTACGCGTAAGGGACCAGATCGTCTTGCCGCCAACAAATCAGTCCGTGCATCCTGTACATAGTAATAAAAAACCGGCTTTAATCACCTGAAACCAAAATCAATTTTAATCGCGTTCGGCAATGATACATCAATGATAGATCAATTGATAAATCAATGGTAGATCAATGATAGATCAAAACTCGGTAACACGAGCACTGCTGGGCTTACGTGGCTTCTTCACTTTTCCAGAAAACCAGCAATGAGAATGATAAAGCAATTTAGAAGACATTACTTCACTAACTTAGCACATCGTCTCTTTCATGGCTGTTTCCTCATCGACTGTCCTTTCCACAATACGGGGGCATCTCTCAGCAGCAGCCCGCCGTTGCATCCCAGTGCATCGTTCAGTTAGTTCATTCTCCCCACTTCCACCCAGTCATTATCAGATCAACTCATTATCAGACTTTGACGTTTCGCTCGTGTACAAAAAGACGTGACTATTGCCCCATCAGGTCGACTCGTTGTCTTTGACCTCCCTCTGCGCACATTTCATTTCAGAAGACATTGATCGCAAATTTCGTTGCCACTTCAAGTCTCAACTCACTTGGCAGAATTGATGAAGAGATCACGGAGGTCACTCTTCAGCTCCTGGTTGGTGGCCTCCAGATCAAAGAGAGCCTGTCCGCGAAACAATATGCAAACAAATCGACCACAAGCACACAAGGACAAACGCACACGCACACGTGACAAAGACACGGATTTGTCAAGACCACAGTGCATATTGTTCTGGTAGGTTTCAACAAACACATACAGTACAAATCAGACCCTATCAGACCCTCCTGTTCAGCTCACACACTGACTATATGGCTATTCTGACTATCAGACCCTACCGTAGCAGGTCAGTCTGTGAGCTGCGACTCCTGGGAATAAGAAAAAGAAGGCGACATCGACTGTGGGCGAAGCGCCAACAAAACTAATCGCCATGAACAGATTGAAATGATGACTAATGGACCGCTTAAACCACCAGTACCTCGCTCACCTAACGGCCGCGGGCACTCCCGTTTACGCGCCGCAGCCCCAGGGGGGTCGGCCAAGGGAAGGCCTGGTCGCTGCGCGAAGGCCAGGCTCCGCTTCCCTAGGAAAGACACACTTGAGAAAACAATAAAAAAGAAAGAAGGGAAAAAAAAAAAAATACACAAACGAAAAAAAAAACGAACGGACAAAAAGTTGAAGTCGCGCGGTAGAGAGAGAGAGAGAGAGAGGGGCGGCGAACTCGCCGCGACGAACTACTACTGCTTTTACTATTTACACTGCCTTACTTGTTTTTGTGTGTGTGTGAGAGAGAGAGAGAGGGGCGGCGAGGTCGCCGCCTCTCTCTCTCTCTCTCTCTCTCTCTCTCTCTCTCTCTCTCTCTCTCGTCGCGGCTGGCCTCATGGTATTGCGCCCTTGCTAGGATGACCAAATCGAATGAATCTGGCGCTATCGCGTGGGAATATACACTGCCATACTCGTTTTTGTGTGAGTGTGTGTGTGTGTGTGTGTGGGAGAGAGAGAGAGAGAGGGGCGGCGAGTTCGCCGCGACCCTCCGTGCAGGTCACCGCCTCTCTCTCTCTCTCTCTCTCTCTCTCTCTCTCTCTCTCTCTCTCTCTCTCTCTTCGCGGCTGGCCTCTTGGTACTGCGCCCTCCATAGGATGAGCAAAATCTACTGAATCTGGCGCTATAGCGTGGGAATATACACTGCCATACTTTCTTTCGTTTTTTTTTTTCGTTTTTTTTGTCGTTTTTTTTTCCGTTTTTTTCGTTCTTTTCACTCCGACGTTCGGGATACCTGCGCCCGGTAGTCCGAGCCTCGGCACGGGTCGTCGTACCGGTCGGCCGAGGCTCGGACTCGATAGCTGGGCCAGGTACTTGTGGTTTAAACCACCAGTACATCCGGAGACCTTGAATGAGCCTTGCCGAAAAGTTAGGGGACTCGGTATAGCGCCGGCCTGGGGGTGGGCTGAATTTGTTTTTTGTGCAGGGCTGCGCCTAGAGCACCCCGCCGCATGGCACTTCTTCTCCACTGGCTCTTCGGTCGACCTGTCCCGAAAACCTCCGAAATTTTAGGAGTCTCAATTGGATTCTCAACTTGGCTGGGGCCCAGCCATCGTGAGAATCGCGATTTATCACCGAAGTGCTGGGATGAATAATGCTACCGGACCAAAATGGCTGGCAGCGCTAGCCAAAAAGGAAACGAAAACGCCGCGCTGGCGTTTCGGGAAGGCTTGGCGTGCAGGGAGGTTCGCCGCTCGTGAATTTTGCCTCGGACGTACCGGTGGTTTAACACCGCAATCGGACACTAAGGCAACCACAGAGTAAAACGCAGAACGTAACGAGTCGTATCAAGTGATCCAGGAAGGATAATCATCGTACTTTTCAAGTACACAACGAGCAATCACACTCTTCAAACCAAAGAGACTGGCTCAGATCTCTTGTTGCTTCTAACATCTTATTACTTTGATTCTCTGATAACTTCTAAATCACACGGGCACAATACTTGCGAGAAGACTCAAAAAATGCTTCAGCACGAAAGAGACTTAAAAGAAAAAACAAAAAAAAGGCAAGCACAGTTTCAAAAGCGACATGCACCATGGGGTGTCGAAGATAAGAACACCAAGTTATCATCGACGCAGGTTATTAGCACAAAAAGAACCAGTGGAGGAGGGTGGTAGACCAAGTGCCGGAGAGAGAGAGAGAGATGAGAGAACGATAATGGTGTTTCTAACTACGACAGCAGAATGTACGATCGTCCATACTGGCGACAGCAAAGGGGAATCGCAAAAAAAACAGACAGTGCATAACGATGTCCTGTGGCCAGCATGGACGTACGGGAAACGAGGCCCTGCCAACAAGTGAAAGTCAACATCTCTTGAACTGAGGGCGGCAGCACGGAAAATACCGGTGGAGGAGAGTGGTAGGCCTAGTGCCAAAGAGAGAGAGAAATGGGAGAATGATAATGGTGTTTCCAAATATTCGACAGAAGACTATACGATCGCCCATACTGGCCACAGCGAAGGCGAATCGCAAACCCCAGAAAGTGCATAACGATGCACCAGGAAAAAACGACAACGCTGGGTATGTTCGTGCGTTTTTTTCATCCGTTTTGCGTTCTTGTTTGTGTTTCCCACTCAAGAAGCTCCAGACCCAAAGTCGTCCTTTAGGTTTTCTATATGGAATGGCGGCCCAACAAATACAGACTAATGCTTCGTGGGCGCAGGTCTTAGCAGTAGTATGTGTGTATTCGTTGGGCCACCATTTCAAAAATGGAAAACCTGAAAGAAAACTACACGACCTCTCAAACCCTACGTCGTCAATATTGTTTTATTCTTATACCTTAAAACATGAGGAATGGTACCAACTCGTTTTTCAACGTAGTGGGAAGAAAAGGCATACTGATCCCACTACCGTCTTCCCCAGACAGACTCTAGTCATTATGGCTGACCATCCGATACGCACGGTCATTATGGCTGAACATCCGACTGAAAGTCGCCCGAAATTGAACTATAACAACCCCCTGCCCTTGGGTAAATACGTTAATAGGCGAAATACATTGCCATTGATGTGACTGACAGTCACCAAGCTCTCCAGTTCTCCTCCATTCTATCTATACATCTCTCCCTGAACTACCTTATAGCCCTTCTACCTATACCTCTCTCCCTAAACTACCTTAGACCCCTTCTATTCATAAATCTCCCCCTAAACTACCCTTCTACGTATAGACGCACGGATCCCTCCCAAACCCTAAACAATTTTCCTTGAGCCGTTTGAAAATGATCCCTCGACGGTTTTCTTCTCTACACCTACCGGTAGCGCGCAAGGAATCCTCTCCTTCTCCTCATACGTACTTCCCATCGCCACAACACTGAGCTTCCTGCTACTGTTGCGAGCCCGTGCAGTACAATGACGACCACCACCC